TAAATAAATAAAACACACAATAAAAAATAAAATAAAACATTTTTTTTAATTATACAAATCAAGAAAAAACCATTTTTTCGGTTTTTCATTGAAACATTTCCTTTTCAATAATATTTTTACAGTGAGTCGTTTAAGTAACTAGAGTAATACTCTAATAGCTAGAGTATTTTGTTAAGTATATTGGAATATATTGGTGGCATAGTCGTATATATTTGTTTATATTCTTCTTGTAAACAACTTCGCAATCTCCCCCTAGATATTTTATATCATCAATACCATTCACAATCATTTTGAAGACAGATTCTAGCTTTGGAATTGCTTATGTATTCCTCGTTTCAAACAAAAGAAATAAAACCAATTCAAATATGTTCATTTGCTTTTATGTTTATTGCTTTTACATGTTCAGCACAAACGAGTGATTTATTTCAATGTAAATCATACAAATTACACGAATCCACGTAATTTAGTAGGGACAATTTTCTGAATCAACTTCGATAATGCCAAGCCGATGAGACGAACTATTCTTTCAAAGAGCTCTATATATTTGCTTATGATGTTTTGCTGGAAAGAAAAATTGTCAAAAATGTAATAGTGTTCAAAAACAAACAGAACACATGATCTCTTAATAAATGAATGCTAAAAATAGAACAAAAATTATGAAAATTAAGTGATTTTATTATTAACATAAAATATTTTTGATAATTTTGATTGATTGGCATTTTTTTCCGATGCTAGCTAACAAGTGCTTGTCAGCATTCATAAAGATACACCCACAAAAGACAATCAAAACAACCAAAACGATTGCCAAACCAAAATAATACAGGCTATAATTTTCATAAAAATCAACCATGAACTGATATTTGAGAAGCAAACAAAAAAATGACATTGCAAAGACGACAACACATATCAATGTAAACGATGCCAGTGTGGTCATTACCAGTGTTTTGCTACATGTTTCTGTGATTGTAAAATTCCGGCTGTTTGGGGAATCTGGAAATTCAGCATCTGGGCGAGAATGATGAAAAATGTGACTATTGAAATGTTGCTCAATCTGTAGTTTGAAATCAGTCGATGCCTCATCAATTATATGTTCTGGGCGGCCTGACTTGAAGAATCCCTCGAACTCATTCCAATCGTTGTTGTACATGTTAATAAACCCGTTCGTGTAGTCCCTGTCACTATAGTATGAAAACGGAATGGATAACAAGCAAATAAATGAAAATGAGAATTTGGCAATGGAATCGATTGAAGAAAAAACAGACACATGAAAATAATAAAAAAACAGACATTTGTTTATCTGTTTATCTCTTACTGCAACGATCTTAGAATTATTCCGTGGACTGGCGTCTGACTGACTGCCCAGCAAATCGCCATCAATCGGTACATTTTTTCGATTAGTTCGTTGATTTGATTATTTTGATATGACCGCTTGATGTACAACGACTTATTTTCATGAATGGTCACCAAAATTGAGGTAAACGTATCAATGGCATTTCTGTAGCGACTCATCATCATATAAGAGAAACCAGCATAATACGACGTCAAGACTTCAAAAGCTGGTATCGGTGTGTTTTGATCCTTCTTGTGAATATTAATCGATTTCAACAAATTAATTGCCTTTTTATAATCACCACACAACGAATGTAAGCGCAACATTTCAACCAAACTAAAATAGTGCAGCGTACTCGCAACTGACTTGGAATCGATGTTGGATGAATGCGTTAGAAATTTGCTGTATATATCAGAAAATGTATTTCTCGCATCATCACGCCCGTTAACCTCAATATATCGAGACACGAAAGTGTCGATTATTTGCCATAGCCAATCGTCTGGCAGTTTCAATTGAACGGGTTTCGATGCCTTCGCAATCGAATCAAAAAATTTGCGACAGTTTTCAAATGCAGACTTGTGGTCCTGGTTTGGTAGTGACGAGATGTGCGTATATGCATGACGCTGACGTAATTCTTTGCAGAGTATAATTGACAATTTGTCTTTACCAAATTTTTTGTCATCCGGCCAATGACTTTTTACAAAATATGCATTGTTCAGCAACAAAACCGTGCGCTCGTAATAACCCAGAATTTCGCTGTCATTTTTATTATTTAATGCATTGAATAGTTTTTCAATGGTGGGTTTGAGTTGGTTATCCTAGAAATTTAAATTTAAATTCCCGATTAAATGAATGCTTATACGACACATCAAATTCAGTACTATAGAATATTCGATGAATTTCTAAGAATGTCAGCAATCTAATTATTTAAAATTACTCACCATATTAGAAAGTTCCATTTGATTGTTCGATTTTCGCTTAATTCTCGCTGCAAATTTATTTAATTTACTATACACAGTCTGTAAATAGTGCAAAAAAAAAATTGTGTCGATGACAATAGACTTTTTTTGCATAGCAATTGAAGTTTGGCCCGACGCCATATTGAATCTTTCGTATGCTGTTGAAAATTATTGATGGCGCCACTTATTATAGTGCGATACGAAAAAAAAAAACACTTCAAAGGAATGTAAAATTTATGGAACAAAGAAAACGGAAAATTTCGCTGGTGAAAATAAAAAAAAAGATAAACATTCTTCTGATTGTTTGACCAAAAGAAATAAACTGAAATAATAATAATTTTTTTGTTTCCCTCAATGTGTTCGTAAACATTTTATACACGCAGAATTTTTTTTTTTGCGTATGTGTGTGTGTATGTGTATGTGTGTGTGTGTGTGTGCACTAATACTAAGAAACGTGGATTAAACCGCCAATTTCATACTACTTATACAATATACATATTACACTTATTTGATTTGGATGTCCTTATAAACTATGTCTTTATAGTAAATTGATAGAAAAAAAGATTTATTTATTTTTTCGAGTAAATAGGGAAATATAAAAAAAGGAAAATGAGAGTCATGTTTTTAAATGATGGATTATGGTTTTTTTTTTTTCAATTTCCGTTCCACTTATATGAATAATAATTAAAGGATGGCTTCCATGCTTCATTCCATGGGATGATGAACGGTAACTGGTGCTTGTATATGACGATGTGGCGATGATATTTCCGATTTATGTTCGAAATAACTTTTTATCGGCGATGCAAGTCCATCAGTTTTGCTACCGCAACTTTGTCCATAAATAATACATGAGCTGCTAGCCGGTTCTGTATTAAACGATGCCGAATCGGATATGGATTGATTGCTGCATTTGTTATTGATTAATGGTTCAACCAATGTAAAGCACGCATGATCAGAATCATCGTGCGGTGTCATTGTTGAATAACCATGATCAGATTCACCATTTGGAAGTCGTCTAAAGTAACCGGCACTTCGATATGGTGAATCAGATGATACGGCATTTGTTCGCTTATCAACTACATCGTTTCCAAGTCCATTATGTGGTAATATTGTATCATAATCCAGGCGTGATAATGGCAAACCGAAATTATGTTCAACTGCCATCGATTCTACATATAAATGTTCAGAGCCTAATGTAGAAATAGAAAAAGATATTTTTTATTAGCTCAGGACAACATTTTTAAAATATATGCCATGGCAATTTCCATAATGAAATATTCAAATTGAATTTACCAGGTTCTAAATTATTTCGATAGCAATACATTGCAAAGCCGATAACTATAAATAGAACAACAACAGCACCGATAACGATTGGACCGATGGCCGCATATGCCGAATCGAAACGAATTGAATCAATTATTGAGCCAATATCACCGTCGCCGTACGGTGTATTAGAGCCCAGAATACCACCAAAACAACTCGATTGTTGCGTACAAAATGGTGACAATAAAATCGTTTGATCAATATCAATTTCACACCATACACAACCCAAAATGCCCAAACAATCCAATTGATTTGAATATATTTCACAAGTGAAATTTGCACATTGGCCCAATGCACTCAATTGATTGGTACGCGAAATTTTCTTGTTCGGAATAAACTCTTCGATTGGACGTGAACATATTTCAATGCTGTCAAAAAGGTTGATTTTCTTGTCGAATGTGTTTTTCTCGTCTTCAAGTAAATCGCCGTACATGTACTCGGTCACAATGGAACCGGTGGAAAGATTGTCTATTGAACATTCACACGGGCATTCTACAATGAAAAACCATAGAGAAAGAAATCAATTTAAAAAAAAAAACATTTTTAAAAAATGGGAGAAATGAGAAAAAAATTAATTACCACAATTCATAAGCTCGATACGTTTGCAATTAAAGCAAACCTTATCAATCGTACTACATGGGCAAAATGCAGCACCCCCACCACCTTCGCTTGAATTTTTCTATTGAATAAATGGAAACAAAATTAAAACATGAACTTATTAAATTTTACCATATTTTCGATGACTTACCATGATTACGAATAAATTTGTATTTGGAATTGCTTCAATTTGATACTTGGTTCGTTCTCCATTAACGAAATTCGTCAGAGGACCAACGACGGACGTATTGAATTTATAGTATCGTTCAACTTTTCGATTCAGTAAATTTTGGCACATTCGTTTCTGCACCAATGATTTATGTAATAAAATATCATTGGCAATTAAGGATTCCCGATGCGTGATATGTTCGTTTAAATTAAACTGTGAATCGAATGAGGATAATTGCATTTTTGAATCGAAATTATTCGGATAAACAACCAAATAGCCAAATTCATCAATGATAAAACATTTGATATTTTCATCACGGCGACAATAGTCCGATGATTGCAATAGTACTTGATAAAGAAAGCCCAACGTCACATCAATAGAGACAATTGCTATTGCTTTGCGTTGCCGTTGATTATTTGAATTTGTTTCCGATAATTTTCGATTTTCAAAAATGACACGTGAAATGGTAACGATATAACCGGCTCCACCAATATCCAAGTATGGAGGCGTTATAGTTAATTTATTTGCATTTTCAATTGCTTTTTGAAACCATACACGTCGGCTTGGATCGAAATCGTTTGGCAATGGAAATCCCGGATACATCAACATAATTCCATTGATTGATGTTACATATCTCCGTACAACATATTTTTCAATTTTACTTCGATATTGATGTTGCATCCGAAGCAATTCAATTGCATGCGATAAGGTCAATACATCGCTACGAATATGCGGTTGAAGACCCGGATTTGTCAATAGATTCGTTGTATCTTTGATGTAAGCCATTATATTCTCGATGCGATGGTAGCAATGTTCATGTCGTTGTTTGTCGTCATTTGCATCAATATCATTTGCACACATGGTCGACAGATGTTGAAATGGTGATTTGAATGTACGCGGACTTAAATACAATGTGGCTGTGTTAAATACTGAAATTTGCTTAAAATACTGGCATAATTTTGGTGTATCGTCCTGTTGCTGTTGATCGTTCAATTTTATTGAAATTGCCAAGTCCAAACGATGGAACACAACTTGATTCTCTGCATCGGTATAACTATCAACCGAAATGTTATTGAACGCTTCTAAATTTGCACGATTTGTCGATGACAAAACAATCGGAGTCTTGTATGAATGAGCGATCAACATGTGTTTCTCTTCAACAGAAGTTTGTTCAGTATATGGAAGCACATGTACCAAACAGATGATGTACCATTCTGACAAGCGTCGCCATCGATATACTTTCTATACATATAAGCGAATGAAAAAAGAAAAAAATTATATGTCTGCTAAATTTGGTCAAAGATGTTCTTTTGGATGAAACTTACCGATTTGTTTGTCTTGGAATCGGAAACTTGTACAATGCCCACATCTTCGGTTAGCCATCGTTTTCGAATATTTTCGGATGTCTTTTCAAAATATTTGATATCAGTTGCATATGTGGGCTCATAACTAACGATATTCGAACGTGGAAATGATGGATGCCATATTGTCATACCTAAGGGGAGAATCACAAAAGGAAAGAATAAAATTTAAAATAATCGATAAGTAATCGAAGAATAATCGCAAAACAATCAATAATAATTAATAAGTAATTTTTAAGTGATTTGCCCCTTGGTCATACCATTTTTATCACAGAGAAATGCATAAGTCTCATCACTATTAAAATATTGATTAAAGTGATAAATCAAATCTTCTGCCAAATCCGATAGATAAATTGAAATACCAACAATGCCATAATTTTGACACGTTTTTGTTATGTAAATTATTTGATCTGATGAAAACATAATGAGATAAAAGAAACATATAAAAATGTAAAATTAATGCATCCGCGGTGAAAGTTTCGATTCAATGTTTTTACCTTTAACAATTTGATCATAAAATGGCTGATGAACGACTGTATGTGATTTGAGAAATTGTTGTTTAAACCATATGTCGGTTACAGCGACAGCCGCAGTAGCAAACATATCATTTATATTACGATGATTCACGACAAACATTCTCCCATTTTGATTATAATCGTGAAGTTGATGATACCACGATTTTGTTTTGTTACTGTTGTTCACATCAATGTTATATTTTGTGTAATTTTGTGTCGCAATATCGCTTAAGAATTCTTTTCCGTGTATACTTCGTTTTTCGTCTATAAAAATGAAGAAAAAAAAATTGTAATTCGAAAAAATGAAAAAAACATTCATTTTAAAATCTCACCCAAAATTATTGCACACGTATTTATAACAATTGGCTGTTTCAATCGCTTTTGTCCACTAGCTATGACTTCAAGTACAGTTTTTGTTTCGGACAATTGTACGATTGAGCCTCGACTAACGTACAAAATTTGTAAAGGTGTCGATTTTCCATCGAATGATATGGCACCAAAGTCCGATTGTGATTTAATCCATTTAAATGCATATTCAAAAGCAAGCGAATGATTCGTTGCATTTGTCTCCTTTTCCAATGATTCGATAAATTTTCTCAATTGACTCTTATTGTTCGGATTCATCGGAAGAAATTTGTTTGCGCTTATATGAACACTATTTGAAATTGCCATTACAAATAGATCATCATTTTCACTCAGTAAATTTAGAATAATTTGTGCTGCAAAAGATCAAAAAAAATATCTAAATATTATACGCGATAGTTAAAAAAATAAAAGATTGAAAAAAAAAATTCTCACCAAACGATTTGATGACGTCAAATGAATCTGAATTTGTTGCTGTTGTGGCGCCAAAGTCCACTATCAAAACGATCTTTTTCGATGTAACAGACGAAGCATACAGAAACCTGATAATTGAATTCAATTAATATTCATTCATTCTTCACTTTCAATTTTATTCTTAACGATGATTTAAAAAAAAAACATCAAAAGTTGAAAATTGTTTTGATTTTCAATTTTCAACGTTGTTTTTTTTTTTGGTGTTTCATACCTGTGATGTTCATTTGGAACGGTATTACGACAATTGGTGCTGCTTATTTGGTTATCTCTAGGTAAAAAAAATACATCACGAAAATTTGGCACATTCGCCGATGTTGATAAGTCGATATTTTTGAGTGTTTCCATCAGTCTTTTGTTAATTGTAAAATTTCGGTCATCGTTTTCATGTAAATGGCCGGCATTTTTTAAAAAATTTAATACTTCAATCGCTTTCTTCTTGTTTATTCCACCAATAAATTCATTTTGATCCGAATCATCGCCATTCAAATCATATGTGCTTCGTTCGGAATGTTGTTTTGTGGACGATGCACATGGCAAAATGATGGAATCAAGTAGTAATTTTCGTGATTGCCCATTCTCCGTTAAAATGTTTACAAATTTCTGATTGGTTTCGTTCAGAATACGTAGTGCGGTTGAAAGTTTCGTTTCGATTTTTGTGGCAATTGAATTGAGCAACTTTGTATCATTGTGATCAATTGACGATGGCAACCGATCCAATGAATCAAACGCACTTTGTATGACGGAAACGAGCAATTCATGATCTTCAATCGATTTCAATTGTATATTAAAATCACGTGTTAGATCCGATATGGCATACTTTTGTATAAAAGAATTTGTACTGGTTTGTAATGAAACTGATGAAAATGAGGTAAGCGATGTGGCCACCGGTTTAAACGATTGAAAAGACGTTGTCTGATTATCGGATGATGATGACGAACTATCGTTGGATTTTGTGGCTGTTGAGGCAGCAACATCAATTCCACCACATAAAATTATCGTTAAATAGGCTATGTAACAGAAAACCGAACCATCTTGGTAAAATGGGCTTAATTGAAAAAGTAACATTTTCTTAGGACGAATTCACTCAATAAAATAAAATTCTCACACATCCGCTTCAAGCCTTTATGTGGATTTACATTGCCGCTCGTCCCAATCGTTAACATATAAACTAAATCTCATCGAATTTACAAAAAAAATTCACACAATAAACCTCACATTTTTGTTTGTTTGGGCCGTTCTCTGGTTTTTATTTTCTTCATTTATCAATAAAGTGATTTATTCTTTCTCCTTAACATTTGAATAATATCAATAAAAATCAAATGAATGAATTACTTTTCGTTTTTCTTTCTGTTCTTCTTTCAACAATGTCGTTTTTTCGGCGTGCCAATTTTGATGTTTAAAACGTAATTTGGAAAACAAAAATATTAAATTTTATAAATGCATTTCGATGGAGAAGTAAGGAAAACCTTTGTTGTCTCGCAGATACTTTGTTTATATCAATATTGACATTGTTTATAGATGCACACTACACCGCCATACTTGCGTCAAAAACAATCACACATTGATACACCAAACATGAATCGGTCGGTTCGATGTGTAAAATAGTGTGTTGAGTAGTTACTTAGAAAATTGTTCAGTTTTTTGGGGTGCGTTCCAATTAATTTGCGCGGCGATTACAATATATTGTAAATATTTTAAATACAAATATTTATCCGGAAGCATTCCATTTATTTTGGTTTTTTCATGTGATTTTTTTTTCTATGGATTCGAGTGTGAATTACTGCTTTCAAAAGAACATGTACAAAGTACGTACTTAAGTTTGTTTTTATTTCAAATTAAGCTAAATTGAAAGAACGGTTCATTTTTTTTCTCTCGATTTCAATTATAAATGTAATATTCAATGTCATTGAAAAAACCGAATTGGTAAACCTATTCGACAAGTCAGAATCCGTCATTACTTGCATATTAAAATTTGCAAAGTACACAAAATGCACTTCTAGTTAATAACGTCGCACTATCTTTGAAAATACTTTTTTTTATCATTATAATCCAAATAAATGTCTGACTGATTTTGAAAGACGATTTTCACCTTCGCTATGATTTGACTTTTATTTATTGCATTGCAATTGAAACTGTCTAGGTTTGAAAATGATTTAATCTGGATTTGAAAATTGTAGAAATTTTCCAATAATATACAAACAAATAGGAATGATGTGTTTTTTCACCAAAAAAGAAAAGTTTATTGATAAGACACTTGCTGATGAATACAATGTATGTGATAAAAAAGAACGGCCTATTACTTAAATACGTGCAACTTAAAAAAAGTGCAATATCTATGCAATAAAAACTAACCATATACACATCGTTAGTTTGTTGCATCGCAATAGTTTTAATATTTTGTGGTTTTTTGGTAAGTTCCATTGCTTAATCATAAACATTTCATTGCTACCTTTTGTTTGCATTCGCATGTATTAGTTTATTTCTTCGGTTCTGCTTTTAACCATATTCTCTTTCTCCTTCCAAGTATATTTGTACTCGCAACGATCAAAATCATTTCTTTGCCATGCTGCATAATCAACGGCAAATCAACATAATTTCAAGATCTCTTGATGCGGAAAACGTATCATATTCACGAACAATAAACCAAGTTCATTCAGATGCGCCGCCACCATCGTACGATGAGATCGTCCTTGATATTCGATTGGTCCAACCGAACACTGTCATTATCTATTTAAAAAAAACCATTCTAAATGCGTCAAGTCGCGCAAAAAATTCAAAATAAAACCATACTCATACATATATACACACACGCAAACTCTTCCATAAATTAGGCAAATTTATAATTCTAATGTGTTTTATTTTTACACAAAAATGTTAAATTTGTTGAATAAAAAAGAGTAAGAACATTTTTTTTTTTTGGAGTTTATAATGATATCAGTCAGTCTCTGTATGGTTTCGTCGATTAATTTTAGCTAAATGTCGCTTTAATCGAAAGCCCCTTCGATGACGATGTCGCCGTGAATGTTCTTCCGATGCATCCGGTTGTGAATTTTCATTTTGTCGGTCTGAATTATGTTGTTGACGATGTCGTCGATGTCTATGTCTTCGACCCCGTGATGATGAAACATTTTCGTTTTCTTCATCAATCACTGCAACGGTGGCTGGTGACGTTGGTACTGCTGTCGTTACAGGACCATTTGGAGTTTTAACACCTGCAATTGCTTCTTCATATGTTGGCAGTCCGTCATTTGATTGACCTTTCACTGCACCTTCGGTTGGTATGTATCCGGGATTTGTGAAATTATACGACGGTGTTGAATGAGCTACATCGATCGTATACACCGATGATTGACCTACACAATTGAAAACAATCATTAGGTGAACAATTGAAACAGAAAACATTTTCACTTTGATACAAACCACATGAAGTGCCCGCTTCGTTGGTATACATTTCGGAAAAGTTATTATTGATGCCGCGCACATTTCGAACACAATTCCGGATTTGAAGCTGTGAATCAGACAAATTTTGTTGATTACTTGATTCAATTTCCTTTGCATTATTTTGTTCTGGCTTTGTTTTTGAGTTTCCCATTTTTGTTGTTGTTTTTTTTTTCTCTCAATTCGATATCTTATTGTTTTTTTTTTTTTTAATAGATTCCAGAACAAAATGTGTTGTTTCTTTTCAAATTATAATTGTGTAAATTTTAATTGAAATATGTAAGGGCGTAATGTTGTTGTCGTTGTTTCTTTTTGGCTATTTATGTCGTTAAAATTCCACAGTAAATTAAACACAAAAATGTTATCTATATTTTGAGAGAACAAAAACGCTTCAAGAATCAAGCATTTTCGAAAACAAACAATGACTTTAATCAACTCGATATTATAACAATTCGAACGCAACTAACTCGTTTTCGACAGAAATAGTTGTGGAAACAACAAAAAGAAACAACAACTTTCATATGAATATACAATATACACGTAATAACCAAGTTACATGGTGGTGTTGTTGTGCATTAAGTCTTTTTTGACGTTGCGTCGAAGATGATTTCAACACACTGCGAAATTGTGTGACGTAATATCAAAAAGTCTCGAGACAATAACAATCTCTTTCGCGATGTTGACTTCATTGACGCGCGTACACATTGGCCCGGTCAAAGTTTTTCGATCAAATAGGTAACCGACTGGATTGGTACACGTAGTATATTTGGTTGCTCTTTTATATTAATTGAATGAGCTTTTTAAAGAACCACTTTCAAACATAATGTTACATACGTACTCTTTTTGGCACCACTTTTAAGCATTGTGGTCCATTGACTGGAGGCTTTTATGAATAAATGGAAATTGCGAAGCGCTTAACATTGACGGCAATTTTGATCAAATGCGGTTTAGCCAAAGTAGATAGAGTAAAGGCGACCAGGTAAACGAGAGTGAGAAGTCATTTCGTTTCTATTGTTAGTGACCTTCAATGTGTGACTTTTTCTACATCTAATATGGTGAGCGAGAGAGAGAGAGAGAGCAAGAAAAAAACTCCAACAAACTAAAATCTATGTCACGTATGATCGCATGTAATAACTAATAGTATATTTTTAGACCATTTATTGTTGTTGTGTGTTAAACGTTCGGCGATGTGTTAAATGCCGAGTTATTGCAATGACCGTAGCAATTTTATGTGACGAATGCAAAAATGTGCATTTATGATCGTATATCGTGCATTACATTCATGTGATCGATACGTTTAACACTTGAATTGGCATCATTTGCACGCTATACACGTTTTTAAACAGGTACTTGATTCACATTCATTTCAATTGCCATATTATCTTATCATTATTACATTTGATGTGCTTGATTATCGAAATAATCAGTCAGAAGTTTGCTTAAATAAACGAACATCGTCCAAACAAAGTATTGTTTGTTAATGAAAATAAACAGTGAACGGTGTTATCAACCAGGTTGTTTTATTATTGCTTCTTTTTTTAGATTGACTATTTGCAATTTTCCATAGCGTTGTTTGCCTTTAGCCATTAGGCGTATTTAATTGAAGTTGATAGCACGACCGAAATTCAGTGAATCTGGACTTGATCTGGCCTTCTCATTTGGCTGGCGCGTCACACATATAGATAATCACGTTTTTTTAAAACCGTAGAATACCATGTCATCCATTTCTATAATGGATTTTGTATGGAATAAAATCGAAAGAAAACTAGTTTAATTTTGAATGGAATAACTGTACGTGCGCCCAAACACATTCTCTGTCAAACAATTACACAAATAGAGAAAAAAAAACCACAAAAATTCTACATCAAGTTGAGATATGGAATTTGAACTAATTAAAAACAAATTTTGTTTGTTGTCCCAATTAATTGTTGCCAGAGAGAGAGAGAGAGAGAGAGAGAGAGAGAGAGAGAAACAATCACACTCAATCGATTCATAGAAAAAAATGGTGATAAATTGTACGATGAAACGAAAATTTCATGTAGATGAAGTTTATTAACGTACCGCAGAAAAAATAAGGAAAAATATAATTATTACGATCCATGCATAGGTTCCAGCATCCATAAATTGTGTTGAATCCATTCTAAATTTGATTATCACTTTCTCTGTACAATAAAATAAGCGATTCACTTGTTTCTTATCTTATTTAAATGCACTTCTCTTAGCCTAAATCCACATTTTACTTAACTTTAACTTTCTTGAAATGATTTACTTTTTTTTTCGTTAATATTTGGGCCAAGCCTTGTTTAAATAATAACAACTTAAAATTGACTATTAATCGGTTCTGTATGAATTAAACCCACTCAATTCAAAAAAATTATCATAAAGTATCACAGAAAATTCAATGAACGTTGCAAGTGAATGCCTTCAACTTTTAATAATTTATCTATCGATGTATTGAACGAAAAAAAAAGTGTAATTACAATCGCCATAGGTAAATTTGTTTTAAATAAATGCACTGAACACTTTATGTTGCACGTTGGTCAATTCTGGATGTTGAATTGCCGCCGCTTTGCTCTCAGTTCAAACAAAGCAAGTGTCTTTTTTGTTTTTGGAACGTTGCTTTTGGGCTGTCACTATTACACAATCATTTTTGTGTTGTTTTTTTTTTCGTATTTATCTTTTTTCTTTCTTCTTCGCTGTATATGCAGCGTGTTGTTTATATTGAAATCAATGAAAAACGAAAGAAACAAGTCTACTGTATATTGATTGTATCGCTTGTATTACAGTTCAGTTGCTAAGCTCAACCACGCGCTCATTTCAACTATAGACACTCAGCGCGGAGACTGAAAGATACTTTGCACATATGAAAATTTAAACCATCGTTTGTCGGAACGTAATGATGATAAACCACACTGCGAACCATATACTTCTTTTCCATAATTTTATTGTGTACGTACGTATGTGAATTGCGCGCCAATTTATTTTTTTTCTTTTTTCAACTGATACAGACAAGGTTAATATATTTATTTATTTATTTATTTTTTTTGCCCAGCAATACAGAATCTGATACGATTCTTATAAATTAACAAACATTTGGACCGAAAAAAATTCTACTCGTAATGCTTTCAACGAACGTTTTCGCATTTAATAACCGAACGCTTGACATTATCAGAAAACCTAGTCACAAACGAATGCAAACAACCGAAACTTTACAAATATATTTCTGACACATTGTATTGTAGAAATTCATTAAAGAATGTTTGATAATTCTTTTTTAGTCGAGTTCAAAACACCTGCTGCCGCACTCCGCACGATACTGACTTTAAATATCCTACAAACTTGAATCTATTACCATATTTTGTCTGTCTTAGATTCAATGAAAATGTTCGTAATGCGTTTGCAGTGTAAAATGTATTTGGTTGAGTGACTGTAGAAGATAGTCGGCGAGCAGAAACAAAAAACCAATTGTGTCAAAGGAATATAATGATATAAAATTCAGTTGCGATTGTAACAATGGGGATATAATAGGCTAGATATGTCGATAAGAGAGGTGTGCAAAAAAAAGGGTTACACAAGGGCGATTGACGTCCCCTTGATTTCAATATGAAGCTCATACAATGGAAAGAGTTGAATAATTTCTGATATTGAGCAGCTATATCGAATGAAATAAGTGCCTAAACCACGTTTCACGCGTACAATTTGCCATTTTTCGAACCCCGTGGGGAGAAAAGAGAAAAAAATCACCTGTATGCAGGTGCTACTACAATCGTTTACTTCACGGTTATTGTGTTTATTTGCAAAGCTGTATGAATGTGGTCAAAATATTTATTTTGCAAATATGAAAGAAAACATTATTCTTGGCTGATTAATCTATATAAAACCGAAAATATGTATGTCTGTTTGTTTGTTCCGGGTTGGCAGCCAAACGGCTCAACCGATTTGGATGATTAGGGTACCGTTAGAAGGCTCTTGATCCACTGGATGGTGTGTAAATGCTGATTGAAAATTATCAGAGATGGTTTTGGCCAAGAAAAACTAAGAAGAAGAAACTAACGCAAGTCAAAATGAAAGCTCTCGCATAACAAATTATAGTATATAATTGTTCATTTCATGTGCAGAGTATATAACAATAATAAAGTGTGAACGAATCGAATTGGTTATATTAGTGTTTTATGCAAACATCTTATTTCTATTCACGGTGATATTCAAACTCTTTTATTTTGCTAGTTATCTCTGCTTTTTTAAAATATAATAAATTTGAATCGGTATAATTCAAATTACCAAAAAAACAAGAATGTTTTCTAAAATTTTGCGGTTCTACGGTCCATCTTTGATAACTCCATTTAAAAAAAATTACTTATCTAAACAAAGATAACCAGTTCTTAATATGATTCACTTCAAATGCTTGCTTTTATTTTTGGCGATTATCATTGATCACGCTTTCACCATACCAAAGAAAGAATAATGTCTCCAGAAATGTATTTTTATTTTTATCTTTTCAGCATTTATCTCAAAATATAAATTCTCTCCTAACGCGACCCGTGTGGAAAAAAGTGACTGACTGACTGGTTAGCTGAAATCGACTGAAATTGAATTGTGTTAACTAAAGTCGTCTACCCAGTCAACTTTAGTCGTCTATGTATATTATTTTAAACAGATGACTAATTTGAGACGTTTTTGTCTATATAGTCAACTGCAATTGGAGTTGAATTGAGTTGTATTTTTCTCTACTATGATTGACTGAAAAATCAGCCAAATCAACTTAAAAGAACTTCAATCTCAGTTGGCTTTAGCCAAAAACCTTTCAAATTAGTTAACTGACTAGTCAGTCAGAAATTTTCCACAAGGGAAGTGAATGTTTCGGTTTTTTTCCTTAAAATGAAATGACGTGATTAAATGAGAATAAAATAAATTAAGTCAACGCCAAATATAAAAGGACTGGGTTCAACGAAGAATCTCTAAACTGGTGTGCTTCGGTTTCTCGGATTTAGTGAATATCCGTCCCGAAAAGCGATGGTTTCAAAAACATTCCGAAAAATAAGTCATAAATTATGTATAATTCATAATATTTAATGAGATTACACAGAATGTGGACTTCTGACATTTACCATAGAACTTTCGTCAAAAATTCTCAGATTTCCTAACGACAGGCAAAATAAGGCATCAAAATGAGCAAATGCAATGGAGATAATCTTCAATAGGTCCTAAAATTCAATTCAGTATGTTGATTCCCTCTTTGAATATGTTTATATATGTATATGGTATATCTGTTTTTTTGCAGTTATTTAAATATTTGTTTCTATATAAGACTAAAAATGATACGGTGCTTTGAATTGAGATTCCAACTGAATTCTAAATCGGAAAATATATCTAGCGACATCTATTTGAATTTAAATCAACTGCCGAATTGTTTATTCGTACATTCGACATAACTTGTTAAGTCAAAACATTTTGACGTTGACTTAATTGATATCTATAAATCGGGTGTCTCTCTTTTGAATTCACACTGAGAATACACAAAACAAATGCGCTTTTTGGCCATACTATCAACGAAATAATACAACAGGTGTGAGAAAATAAATAAGATAACAGTAAGATTAAAGTGGAGCAACGAAAGAAAGAAAAACATTTGCAATAAAACACCTATCGAGTCGTATAGAAAGTCGTGTTGTGTATTTTGTGAATTTCTTTTTTTTTGGGTTGCCGAAAAATGTCATCACGTAAAAGAAGTGGTTCGGGTTCAAAGAGGCCAAAAGAAAAGGTGGTTTACATATATGAGATGATTTTTCGTACGGACTTCAAGGATCCGACCAAAACGAATCCCGAATTTTGGCATGAATTTTTTCTGCTGCAGCCAAACGTCGACATTTTGGAAAATGAAATAACAAAATTGTCGTGCGAACAATTGATTGCGTTGAAAGGCAATATTAATTCGCTGTTTTGCCGTTGCATCGAAATGTTGGACTCAGGTAAATATATATATTGTCGAAACATTTTGAAATGGATTGAAGAACTTTATCAATTTGACAGATCATCCGAAGCGCGTTTGTAATAGTTTGCAAACCTTATGTGCCCTCTTTTATGCGGTTTTCAAGTGGCATGCCACTGAAACTAGCTTTGATGTGATTAGCACCATATTCGATTTTGACGAAGTTGAAGATCGAATGAAGACATTGATTACAAAATGCAACAATCTTATGATATCGGATGTTGCCGAAACACCGCGTCTCATGTGCTTGAAATTGCTTTTGGTAAGTCAAAAAATGATTGCGAAAAATCGAATAAAATCTTAAACCAAAACGCTATTTCCAATTGAATATGCAGGTATTAGTCACCGGTTGTAATAATGTTAGTCAAAATATTTTACTGGAATATATAATGATAAACAATCAATTGTTTGATTCGTGTGTACGTTTGTTGTCCGATCCGACGCTTCGTCAAATGCACGGACATGATGTTGTCATTCTGTTGACGCTACTCGTTAACTATCGCAAAAATGAAAGCGCCAATCCATACATCGTTCAATTATCGATTCTTGCTGATGAACTTGCACTCAATGGGTAAATAATTTCGATATAAAACAAAAATTGATTTTAACACATTTCTCTGTTAACTATTTGTAGCTATGGTCAAATGATTTCGACGTCTCTTATTGATTTTTGCCGTCAGTATACGCAGAATCTGACTGAAATGCATTCATCATCTTGGCTATCGTCATTGTCAAATATAGTGGGAAATATGTTTGTATCGGATGAAGACTGTGATCGTGTGCAACAAATTCGGGCAAATAATGCACTTTTGTTGGCTCTGTACGAAGCCGTTCATTTGAATCGAAATTTCATCACAACCCTATCGCATACACACGAAACATCGAGTCCCCCGTCACCAAGCAATACATTAAATGCAAACCAACCGGTACCCGACTTGGCGTCAGCGCCAGCAACACCAACTGCACTCGATGTCGCATCACAATATCCAACCAATTTACTGGTTGCAATGTTTCAATATTGGTTTGTTGAAGACTATTTTTTCTTATGGACCATTTTATGTGAAACTGATTGATTTGATGTTGTTTTTTTGTTTTTGTTTTCTTTGGCGCAGTTCAATCGTGATGCAAGACAATAAAAATGAATCAAGTGCAGCCAATTTGAAGCTATGCTTCCTCATATTAACATGCATTTCAGAGGATCAATATGCCAATTCCATGATGCATGATAGTAATTTAACCTACAAAGTACTCTTGCATCGTGCACCGATGCGACATAGAAAATTGCCGCAAGTAAGGTTTAAGAAAATACAATGAGTCTACGAATGAAAATGATTTTTTTTTTGTTTTTGAAAATAATATAGGATCGTCTGTCACGGTCACAACCATTGGCTGCCATTCTCTTGGATTTGCTGCTGGAATTTATTGTGTCACATTTAATGAAAAAATTTCCAATCGAATTGTATTTGTTATCAGTTGGCGTGATTCATCGCATTTTATGCTATCAGAAACGATATCGTGTGCGTTTAATTTATCCGTGGAAGGATATGTGGGCGGCGCTTATAAGTTTGCTAAAATTTTTAGTCAATCAGGAGCCAAATTTGATAAAGAAATGCAACATATTCCATTTAGCCATTCAAATCATCAACATTTTTAACCTTTTTATTACATACGGCGACACATTTCTAGCCACAACAAACAGCTACGATGAACTATACTATGAACTGAATCGCGAAGAGAAAGCATTTACTGAACTTCATGCTATGGGTACGGCTTAATACATTGCATACAACTATTATATGACGATAGTTAGGTCACTTATGGCTATCCTATCGTTATGTTCAATAGTCATATATATTGATTTCGAAAAAGAGTCACATTAAATGGATTTGTTTTTGTTTCTTTACTTCGACAGTGCTTCGATTTTCATTGATGCCAGACTGCGAATACAAGGACGATGTACTGAAACTAATGAGTTCATTGGTCAACATCTTGGCAATTGTAAAACATTTCCAAAACAAAATCAAAGACTGGCTAGCATGCCAAGGCCTATCGACGCCAACGGAGGAGCAAGTTCTCGAAGTGGTTCGTAAAAATTACGATTTAACATTAAAACTACAAGATTCACTTGATCATTATGAGCGATATAATGAGCGGCCAAAACATGTTCAATTCTTCACAAGTATGGTGCGTGATGTTGTAATTGACACACGAAAAAGCGTCTATGTGTCTATTAAAGAAGTACAACATACACCACAACAAGATTTAATTTGCACATCAGCATCTTCACCGTCTACCGTTCTAATGAACACATCGAACACAATTAGCGCGAATAATAGCACCAGCACAACACCAATCTCATCGATAGCGCCTGTTTAAGACTCCAAACGTTAACATTGATTTTATATTTGAACAAAGAAAAACAATCATGCAAAAAAAATAATATATTATAATGACCAAAAGCATTCATTTTTATAACTTTAAAAATTGTGAATTGAATTTTCTTTTTATGTTGTGTATCGTAAGAAAGCTTAATTGACCATTCAGAGCGAGAGAAAAAAGAGAAAAATAACTGTCATGTTTTATGTTGTGTTTAACACTCATTTCGGAAATAAATAAATTTAAATTCGAAATTGGTGTGTATTTTTTGATGGTATTGCTGGCGAATGGGCTGGGAAAATAAAATAACATGTTGGCATATTTCTTTCTTCTATCATTTACTTTTATTTTAAATTATTAGTAATAATTTATTACTATTATTAATAGTTAAAGGAAATTGTTGTCATTTTACTCTTATTTCAGTTACTTGTTGTGTTTATTTATTTATGACACATACATCAAATTGCCACACAATTACAATATAAATATACATGCTTTAATGCAATATGGTCACGCTTGTCCATTGACTTTTAGATGGATGCACGTGTCTACTATATCATTTATTTATTTATTTATTTATTTATTTTTTTGTGTGTTTTCTCTATATCATTTTATATAATTTAAATTTCACCGTTACCATTACGATTTGTAATGATTTCTAACATTCTACTTACACAAAAGATTGATTTTTTTCTTCGGTGAGGGGGAGAGCAGGGATACATAAATGTTTTATCGAAATTTTTTGCTTGTCCTTTTAAGGGATTTGTTGTGTTCTTTTTCTTTTTGTTCAAAAAATGTCTCGTTGGTTTTTCGACGATTAAAGGCTTTTGTGAAAATGATATAAACATTTTGTTTGTCGATCGTGTCATGTTGCCTTTTTTCCTTCAATTTTTTGTTTGTCATCGTTCCGATACAATGTGGAATTATTCAGAAATTACTTCCTTAAATCGGTCCGCAATTCTATGAGTTTTCCGCATTGGATTTATCAATTTACCTGACGGCTTTTTTACTTGGGTCCAAAATTATCGCCCAAATCGAATCTCACTAATGGCATAAATGTGCTTCTTATGTGTTTCATATTTTTTCACATTTACTAATTTAAAAAAATGGAGATACTTTCTATGTCTTTGTGTGATCTAGTCGGTGCAAAGTAAATCTAGCAATAGAAACCAAGGGTTTTTTTCATTGTAAAGCTATCCAAAAAAGATGTATATTTTTTTTCTTTCGTTTTTGCAGTGTGTTGTTTAGTGTTTGTTTGTTTCTCATTTTTTTTCTTTTTTTTTTTGTTTGTTTGTGAGTAAAGTTTTGATTAACAAGGCTCTTTTGCTTTTTTTAAAAACTTTTTTCTTTTGATTTTGTTTGATCACACCAAGACATTTTGGACATGTGAAAGTATGTAATATGATGAAGTGGAATTCATTTTGATCGTTGATACTGAACACATATGATTGTGGATGGAAAGAAACAATAAAAATGAGTATGTATTAGGCATTTGTCCATGAGTGAGTTGAACTCAAAACGAGAAATAAATCACATTTTTCAGACGAACATCAAAGGCAAAATAAAAAATCAAACAATAAATTGTGAATACTTATTCAGTGTTAGGGAATAAGTAGCACAATTGATTGTATCAAGTGATTGAAGGAATTACGGTAGACTGTGGGGAAGAAATTGGTTACATTAAACGACTCGGGGTATGCTTACGCGCTCTTTCTTTCATATTTACTCATTTCTATATGCATATAAATGTGTTTTTAAAAAAGCGATTTATAATAACGGGACGAAAAGAAAAATTGAACTTGTGTGCGGAAGCATGGGGGGGCTTGGGAGAAATTAAAAACAAATGATCTTTTTTTCAGGTGTGCATTATTATTGGCGCAAATTTTTGTACAAGAAAAATATAATTACACATATACTAATTGCTTTCGCATTCAAATTTTTTTTTTGTTTCGTTTAATCAAGAGCAATTAATTCTCTTTTTTTAGTCAAACGACAATTTAAGCAAAATAAACTAAAATATGATGTGTGTGTTTTCAATCTTTTTTTCGTTTTGCTGTTTTTAAATTTTGTTTTGTTTTTTTTTTGTTGACGAGGAATTTTGTGTGTGTGTTTTTTTCTTTATTGCCATTTTCCAGGACGAACATTCGGACGATTTACCGAATCATTCACAATGAGAGAAGAAAACTAATAACAATCCGCTTGATTTGCGAAAGAAATGATAAAATTGTGAAAAATCATAACTAAAGCGAGACATCACGACACATAATTATAACACGATTTTATCGTTCGAGCTCTACATTTTCATTTGAAATTGAAATGTGCCTCATTGTATTTTCAATAACACAAATCAGATATGGATTCGTTTGTTCCACATTTTCATTTTGTAATTTCAATTCTCGAGGCTCGATGATTTCCATATTTAAAATGATGTCGTTTCATTTTTTTTTGTTTAAATTCATTTTTCGAAAAGTGTAGATTTCTAAGTAGTGTTTAAGTATGCATTTTTTTCATTTTTAAATTTTAGAATAATATTTGAAAATGTCTATTTCGCAAGTTCCACACCTAAAGCAATCGATAGATTCGTTTATGTGTATATATAATTTCATTGTGTGAGTTTTGTTTTTTTTTTTATTTATTTTCCTCAATATTGTTGGTTTATTCATTATTTTACGAGAAATATAAAATAAGTTTACTATATATATAAATGGTAATTGATTATCTCCCTATTAATAATTTGTTTTTTTTTTTGTGCATGTTTCTTTTATTTTTTTTTCTTTTCCATTACGTGGCTAATGCATTCTCTCGTTAATTTTTCCTTCATTTAAATGTATAATAGTTAGATTTGTTGTTGTTGTTTGTATTGGTTACTCGTTTTGTGTGTGTTTCTCTGTATGAGTTTGTCGAATGTTTTAACCATCGTTCGTCTATGTTTGCGTCTGGAGATTTGTTTCTGGAGAGGCAGATTTTTCTTCATCATTTTTATTTTCTTTGTCAATTAAGTTCTTTCGTTTGATATTTGGGCACAGAAAAAAAAAGAATTGTTTATGCATTGGTCGATGATCATAAAACGAAAATCCAATTTCGTCCGCGCAGTCTTTAATTGTTTCTTCATTTGTTTTTAATTTAATAATTCTTTCTATTTATTTGTTGTTTAAATATGTGTGTTACTCTGATTAAACATCCTCCACTGATTTCGCAATTCATTTCGAAGAGTTTTTTTTTGTATTCATTCCGACTTTAGTCACCTAGTCAATTCTAGTCGTTTCTTTATGAATTGAATTCTTACACAAGTGATCATCATTCATCGGGACTTGGAACAACATTTAGAAGATTTTTTTTGTCGCATTTGTATTTATTTTTTAAAAGATTTTTTTGTTTTGTTTGTTCTAATACATTCATAATTTACGAGCTCTATCGCTTACGATTATAATAATTAAATTTTGGTAAGAATTAAGTATAAAGAAAGGGGGTGAGATTGAATGTGTTGAAACATCGATTTTATTTTTTGCTAAAGCACACACAGTCACATAATTTAAATCGAACAGTCGATAGAACATCATTAGAATGCGATTTCGATTCGAAATTTTCGAATTATTGATGCCATTGAATGATGCGCGCGCGCGCGTGTGTGAGTGTGTGTGTCGGTGTGAGATTATTTTTGTGATTTGCTTTGAGGAAATGATACTGTTGATACTGTGGCAGATGAAATTGAGAAGAAGACGATTTGTTTTTTGTTTTGTTAAATTTATCGCGATATTCCATGTAATTGGTTTTCACAATCATCGTATTTTTGCTAAAATTATTCTGTGAAACGGATGAGAGTTAATTTTTAAGTAATATCTATGGCTCGACTCATTCGTTTTATGTATATTTCAATGAATGTGCTACATTATTCCAAACAAGACATTTTGAAAACGTGGAAACAATTTGTGATTTTTTTTTTGATTATTTTTCTTCTTCTTCGTCTTTTTTTCTTACAATGAAAAAAAAAAATCTATTGCGTCACCCTTTTTTTTGTGAGAGCGATTGTATGAGTGTGTTTGTTCGGTTTTTTCTGCAATTATATTTTCTTCTAAAATTGGTATTCTGTTCATTCTTTATGTTTTTAGTTTATTTTTCTTTTTAAAAAAAATCTAGTTTTAGAAAGGAAATTTCAATGCCTAACACGAAAAAAAAATACATTAGGAATAAAAAGAATTAAAAAAGAGAAAAAAATACTAAATTAACTAACAACAACAAATGTATTTTTTGTGTTTGTTTCCCTTAAAAGCGATTTGCATCAAACGCGCACGAACGCTCGAGGTTTTATCCAACCATGTGTTGTACAAAAAAGAGAATTACTTTATACTTTTACGGTTACATTCAATAAACACGGAAAAACAAAGGAAAAGAAAACATTTCTCTTTCATAATCCATGCTCCCTCATCTCATCTCTCTAGTCAATATCGATTAATTCATTAACTTATGTAAGTTTAGCTCTCCACTTTTGTTTACTAATTAAATAAGCTTAGCAATATACTGAGAAAAGTCTACGCTTTGTATTTTCTTTAATTATATTTTTTGTATGTTGACGTATGTTTTTATTCATCATTTTGTTATTTTCTTCTTGTTTTTTTTTTTTTTGCTTATTTGTTGATTTTCATCATCGTCATTATTTTATCTTCTGTTAAATCTTCATCAATTATATTTACAAAAATAAGCGAATTCTCTTATTGAATAAAAAAACGAATTAATTTTTGTTTATCGTACAAAACACACATTTCTGTTTAAAATATAAATTTATTAAAACGAACTAAAGAAAAGTATTTTGTAATCATCACATATTTCTTGTTTTTTTCCTTTCTCATTACTTTAAATACAATATAATTACTTCAGTTGCTATTAATTTATGATTATAATATTTGTTTTTTTTATTTTTTGTTGTTAATGTTAAACTTTAAATTTTAGATCTTTCTGTTTAAAATTGTGTCCATTTTTCTATGGCGTTCGATTTGTTAAAAAAAAATTCTTTGCTCGTTTGTCAAATGGAGTTTTATTTTGCGTTTCTCACAATTTCCTCCGAATATTGTTTTTATTTTTCTTTCTCCTCATTTAATGTCCATTTGTTTTAAAAATAATTTTGTGCACTCGATAGCACTCGATTTTTATACAATTTCACATTCACTTTATGATTAGTTTTTTCTTCTTCTTTTTTTGCTCAAACAAATCTTCATTCATGATTTGCAATGTCTGTGTCTGTTATTGTTTTTGTTTTGTGTTTCATTTATCAAATTTCGTTGGAAGTCACAGTATGGATGTTGTATAAAGGTGCAATGCTTTCGTTCAATTCTCCAATAATTTGTTGCATTTTTGCAATTTTTTTTTCTAGCTAAAAACTAGCTAAAATGTTGATATTTTTGTATCAGGAGTGTGTCTCTTCATAAAAGTTTCTTTTTTGTTTCATCGAATTTTTTTCGTAGTGAATCACTTATGGTTTTATCCTCTAATTATTTAGTTGGTCCGGGTGGAAAAGGATTGATAACGGCAACGGCTGCTTGTGGTGGGGTCAGTACAGCGGCTGTAAAATAAACAAAAAAAAATTGAAACAAAATTAATCGGTTATTCAGACACATTTTGAATAAGTTAGAGTGTTTTGTTTGTTTTTAGTTTTGAAAATATTATGATGATCTTCGTAGTAATGAGTAACATTTTGTTTACACGTAAGTATGTCAGTAACGAGGGTGCAATTTCAATTTCGTGCAATTGAATTCCACAATCGTGATTGGGTTTGTGTATTTTTTTTATCCGATCGACTCAGCGGTTGCAAGTGAGCTGCGTCAACAATGTCTTTGAATTCGTCGTAGGTTTTTGTTGAATTGACTGCACGCAATTTTGCATCATTTTGTAATTTGCTTAGTTCACTGATTTTAACAAGATCATAGCAAAAGTATTCAACTTGTCGAATATCATCGGCAGTCAAATGGGTTTTATTAAGACGTTCGCATAGTTGTTCATCAGCCATTTTTTTATATTTTAAATTTATTTTCTAATATATTCGGACAGTTCACAAAATACTTTTTTTTTAAAATGATACTAAAGACTATAGAATATATCGATTAGACAATGGAGTAGTAGCCCGTTACTAGGCAAACAACACATTTATATGGAAATAAAACACAAATTCAAGCTCCATTGTTGCTCTGTTGTGTGTTTGTGTTGTACATTTAAATTTATACATAATTTTTACGGAAAACATACAAAGAGAGTAATATTAACCTGTTTGAATTTTTTCCGTTACTCTCTTCCAATTAATATACGGTTTTTCAATCTAAAAAGATTAAACAGTCAATATGGCATTTCACATTTTGTTTTTGTTGTAATGAAATCGTTCCGAGAAAAAAAATGAACGAGAATAATTGAGAGTGAGAGAGAGAAAAAAAAAAGAATAAGTAAAAAAGAAAGCATTAAAGGGTGGACACATTTCATATTAACATACCGCTATACGCTGCTGGATACATTGGATAGCCGAGACCGACGCCAACATGTGTCTAAACAAATGGAATAAATTCAAAGCGGTTTCGATTAGCCATCGAATTTACTTGAGAAAATACAATGGCAATATATATAATGTAAAAAAAAAAAATCGATAAAAATTAAATTAAAAACAAACAAATTATAAACCAAGTAATTACATGATGGTGAGTGTGAATGTGACGCATTGCTGGCGGTGGACTTCGTTCACTGCTAGAACCTTCCTTATTTGGTGTCATATCACCAGCACTTCCACTCAGATTTGCTGCACACAGAAAAAAATATTAATCAAAATTACATTAATTTTGTCATCAAAAAAGTTGTATTCAAAATGTGTCACTTACTCGGCTGTGAAGCACTTGGTGGGCCACTTTTTGCGCCAGTTGTGGATGGCATCGATGTTGGTGGTGTTTGCAAATTGGCATGCCCTATGAAAAAAAAATTAAATCAAATTATTAAAACACCATCATCATGTGTTTGCGCGACAAAAGTGAATTTCTACCTGGGGGTCCACTGCTTGGTACATTTGGATTCATACTATTTGGTGGCTGTTGTGCTGATTGTTGTGAAACTGGCGGTTGTGATGCCGGATGTTGTGATTGACTGCAATAATATCAAACGGAATACATAAATCAATAATTGCGAAATAAATCAAATAAATGCCATTAGATGAATTGAATTTTTACCTGTTGGAACCCATGCCGCCAATACCCGTTGGACTCTTCAATGCACGTTCGCTCAATTCGTGAATTTTGTGAGGATTATAGTATTGAGCGGCTTGATGTTGAAGTATATCAAGTGCTTTCGGATTTGTATTTCGGGACAAATCTTCGGGTGCATGGAATCTTGACATTTGCAAGTGATATGGAGATGAATTGTACGGTACCATCATATTTCGATACATTGCTGATGGCTCAAAACCGAATGGGCTGGCTCCCATATATGGTGGATGAATCGCATAAAATTGTGACGTTGGCGGTGGTGGCGGTCCTTGTGATTCAAACGTTGGCTTCTGTCCAATGTCCTGTTTCGGTTTAGTCGCTTCTTTATCATCATTTTTCGATTCTTTTGGCGGTTGTTTTTGCTGTTGTGGCGTACTATGGCCAGAACTTTTTAAATTTTTTGGCTGTGAATGATCGTTTCGCTCTTTATCACGATCACGATGTGTTTGTCCCTGTGATGATGGTTGCGATGGTGATTGTGGTTCTTCTTTTATATTTTGCGGCACATTTGGTGGCATCGAACCACTTGGTACACCAGGTCGTCGTTGGTCAGGATACATGCCATAATATCTATTTATTGAAAAATCGATAAATCAATTAAATATCCATCAAAATGATTGAATTTTTATTCATTACCTTCTAAGTTCTTCATCTCGCATATGCTGTGCCGGTGGAACGTTTAATGGTTGGCGCTGAAACATACTGGAATAGGGACCCATTGGTGATGTATTTAAATCTTTTGGATGACCTTCGTGTGGTGGTGGAAGCGGTTGTGGTTGTTTCACATCCTTTCCAATTGGCTCTGTTTTCACCATTTTCGCAGGAACATTCTGTGCACAAATATTTAATTTTATTGTGTTCATTAATATTGTTGGATTTTAATGCGACGTGTAATTTTGATTTTCAATTACCTGCAATTGACTTTTAGGATTTTCGTTTGGACTAGGACTTTCTTTTAAGCGTTCTTCTTTGATCATTGGTTGTGGCGATACTGGCCCATAGTTTGGATCAATATTATATGGATAACCAGGTGGCATGTAACTATTGGAAATAAAAATTCGATCGTTAGGAATCAATCGGATTCATGTAAATAATTAATAAATGTCACTTACTTATATGGATAGTAATTGCCAAGAAATTTATTGGCTTGTGACATTGGTGGTGGAGCTCCTGGATGCTGATGCATCGATCTACTTGTTATTTCTGGTGCTGTTACTGGTGTCGTAACCGATGACACTGTTACAGGTGCTGTAACAATAAATAAAATCAATTCCATTAGCTGTTTCGTTCATTTAATTTTCAATCGTTTTAAAAACCTACCTTTATAATCTTGAATGCTTCCTGGTATTGATGTTGGAACTGGTTGCGGTGCGGCTTGTTTTCCATTCGCATGTTCATTGGCGGTTGCCGATGGTGTTGGTTGCGTTTGTGGAACTATAGAATCAAATTCAATGTTCATTATAATAACGAAATGTTGAGTTTAGTTCAGAGATAGATAGATAATGTCATTGTGTGTCATTTTCGTTTCAATTTTGACAATAAACAGAGATAAAGAAGAAAAAAGAAATGGACTTTTCCGAAATAAGTGTGTATAAAATCGTTCGTGTGTTTGTGTTTGTGTGTGTATGTGAATTTTGAATTGATTTTGAATTTTGAGGGAAAGTAAAATAATTTTGATATAAAAATGGTAAATCGAAATGTTTGAGAATCCAGAATAAACGAAAGCAAAAAAGAAGCGTGTGCATTCGAAAAGATTTGTTTGTTATAATTGTTGTTTGGTTTAAACTTGTTGTTCGGTCTGTTTCATGCGAAATTTACATTGTGTGTGAAATACTCACATTCACAGAAATGGTATATTCCATAGCCCATTTGGGACGATTGCGGAGGTAATGTTGTTTCACCGACTTTCTTTGGTAGAATGTCGGCAGGATGCTTAACTGCTTGATTCTTATCTTTAAACATTCCTACACACAAATCAATCGACAACCCTCAATATATTATGATTGATTTTCATTTTTTTTTTAACAAAATGCTAAACGAAACATAAAATATATCTGAATAGCTTACCGCTTATTTCTGATTCAGCAACTGGCGTTGAATCATCCGATATATCGCTATAAGCTGGACTTTGAACATCGTCTCGGTCACGTGACGTGTTATCAAAATCGTTAGTGCCTTCTTTTCGTTGCTTTTTCTGTGTTTTCACCATTGAAACGGCTTGCGGTCCAGGTGTTGATACTATAAAATTCGAAACCACAACCGCGGCTGATTAAAATCTTTGTCGTTTTGAATCATTCTGTTTATTTATTACCTTTTGTTTGGCTTTCGTTCTTAGGCGTTTGTATGGAATTAGTGTTGTTTGCGGGTTGCGTTTGACCAACTAATGGCAATGCATTTGGCTCAGATGTTGCACTTTGACTCGTTTGATTTGATTCCTGTATCGTCGAAACTGGCACCGAACTTGGCTTCGTTTCAAGTAATGGTGTTGGCGTTCGTGATCTTTGTACCGTTGTTGGTATTTGAGCTGAATTTGTACCTGCATTCGATTGTTCGACTGCATTGGCTGCATCATTACCCGGTTCTGGTTGTACAGTTGGTGGTGGTGTTTCGCTAAATCCTACATATTTCATTTGGTCGAATCATTAATTTTTTTGTCATGCATTTTGCAATAAGAATTAAGTATTTTTGTACGTACCTGATGCGACAATCGATTCAAACGAAGACAAGGAGGATCTTGATGATGGCAGTGGCGATGAATGTATGTTTGCCGCATGCTTTGGAAGTGGCGGTGGTGATTCGGCCAACTGTTGTGAATCACGTGGAGATTCGGGCAATTGTTGTGAATCTTCATCCATCGAACCGGCTCCATGAGCATGACTCTGATGATATTTCAAACCATTGGCGTGCTTATACTTTTTACTACAGTCTATCCAAATTAAATTCATAACAAAGCACATTTTATTAGTTTTTCTATTTCAATTTTTGTATACGAAAATAAATCAAAATCTTACCTTGTTCAGGGCATTCTAATAAAACAGGCGAGATCGCACAAGGTGTAGTTGTTTTCACTTTCTTCGGAATTTGTACATTTAAATCCGACTATAAATTTAAAAAAAAAAAAAACATTGAAATCAATTGATATATTTTTATGGAGGGCAAAAAAAGGTGTGATGTGATTGCTTACATTTGTGGCACTTCCACTATTACTACCATTGCTGTCGCTTCCATTAAACGATGGCGGCGGACTGTCGTCTTTTGACTTTCGTTTTTCAGCTCGACGTGCTTCAATAAAAATGGTACATATATTTTGTACATTAGTTTACCGTTTTTGCAGAGTGTCAATTTAAAAAAAATACTCATACCGTTCGTAGGAAGAAAACTCTCTGGTGGAGATGCGGTTAGTGAACTACTGTTTGTTGAATTAATTCCCGCATTTGACGCAGTAATTGTTGTCGTTGTGTTAGTTGTATTTGTTGTGGAGCTAGTCGACGTTCGTGAAGCACGCCCCTTTGCACTTGCATTTCGCAGTTTGCTATGAACCTATATTGTCAATTTTGGCGACAAATAATTTTTTTTTATTAGTACACATTTTTATTTTCACAAAAAAAATGGAAAATTGAACGAAAAAAAAACGGTAAAATGATATACAGGACTCACAGAGCTTCTTGTTTCAGTAAAGTTACTAAGATCATTTGCCGGTTGTTGTGCGGCGCTTCTGCCGCGTTTAGCTCGTCCTTTCGGAGTTCGAGAATCCAACTCTTCAGTCGGAGAATCACAGAATCTATAATAATGTGTTTTTTTTTAGTTTGTTTTGAACGTGAAATATCAATATTATGGATGGAATTTGAAAAATTAAAAAATTACCTTGGTGGAGCCCAATCGTGTTTGGTACAATCTAGCAATGTACCAACATAGGTTTTTCCCCGCCATGTAACATTAACAACTAATACACCACCTTCAGTCTCATGCCATACAATTCCTTCGAGGGTGACCGATGTGCCTATGACAAAATATAATGAATTTAAATTGTGAACAACGAATCGGTTGAATAAAATAAAAATAAATAAATAGAGCGTACCTGGTTCGCATGGTCCCAAGCAATCTGGTTCCGTAATTGTTCCAACCGATGTTCCAACGCATACATCAACCATATCTTTTGGTTCGCATTTTATTTTCTTACTTGGCGGTGGACTTGTGCTTTCCTCACCATTTGATAAGATTCCCATCTGTATAATACAATCGACACAATAATTTAATAATTTATAGGATTCTTTGAGTTTATTTACTGTTTTTTTTTAATTACCTTGCTATCAATTTGCGGCGAAGCGGGAGCAATTGACAATTTCGATGAAGACGCAGACTTTGACTGTGAATTTAGTGTTGCCGAGATGTTGTTTGACTGGAAATTTGATTGTGGTGGTTGTTGAATGTGTGATAGAATTGTGGTTGAAAATGACAACTGGTTGAAAGTTCGCAACAGGAAAAACGGATAAAGCAAATCCCATATTTAAATTTAATAACATATTAACTTAGAGTTCGATTATCATTTTATCATTTAATTCAAAATGGATAGACTTTTTGGCCGATTTCTCATGTAATGAATTTCTTTGTTGTTCAAATTTGGAAAAAAATTGGAAAACGAATTAGGAATTTGAGGTTACTTACCTTTCCGTCATTTGGTGGTGGTCCTGGTGCATTTGGTGTTTTTGATGATAATATTGTTCCAGATAGATTTGTATTTGATCCAAATGCATTGGCTGACGAAGAATTTAATGCTGACGAGATTACATTTGAATTAGATGTGTTACTGTAAAATATAAGAAAAAAAAATCAGCATATTTTATTTTATTGTTTTGTTGTTCTGTAATTGAATGAATAAATGCGTGTGTGCATCACACATACTTTGTATTCGTTTGTAAAGCTGCCGAAGAAATACGTTGTGATAGTTCACTGTCAATTGGAGTGCCTATCCAATGAACAATTGTTAACGCAATTGTGTGTAGTTTAAGTAATTTTCAACGTCACAATGGAAGGGAAAAAAGAGAAAAAAGAGAGTTAACTATGAATTAAAAATTATAAAAATTGTTAATTAAAATAGAGATGCACATATCGTCGAAAATGGTTTTGATTCGGGCGTGGCGTACAATTAGATATCACCTGAATTTCATCCTATTTCGACGGTAGAAGTGGGTGAAACTATGTCATTTGCATCTCCAAATTAATTAAAAGCGTTACGTTAAATCGTTACCATAATGTTTGCTGCCTAGCAATTCATGTTCGGCCTTTGATGGTGTTGATGACAATGTAGCATTTAATTCATGACAATTGTAATTGCGATCACTGTTTGAGGCCGAACTGTTGTGTATGTCGGTATTGTTTAGGTTGCTGTTATTGTTAACACTCGCTGAAGAGTTGCTACTTGCTTTATCACGTTGAGAATACGATGTTTTATCACGAGTTTTATCGCGTCGATGACTACTGTTCGCACGCTTATTTGTCTGTGATGTATTCGGTGTTGATGTCAAGGCCGGACTAGATGATAATTGTTGCGACGATGAGTTCGTCTGCGATTGATTTAAATTCGTTTGGGATGGTTGCAAAACTGGCGTTTGCTGATTTTGTTGTTGCAATGATATTTTTTTATTTCCCGTTCCCGAATTTGGTGTATTTAATCTATTTGATAAAATTAAATGAATGGTAATGAAAAGGAGAAATGAGATGACAAGATGGATTCACTTACGGATTAATATCATCTGCTCCAGATAGTGAGCCATTTTGTTCGGCTTTAACAATTTCATGTTTTGCCTCTGAGGTTTTAGTACCAGGTTTGGTTCGTTTAATTTTCATTTTGAGCCCTTTGTCAAGCGTTGCATGATGATCGGCCACTTTGCCAGCCTTACCAGTTGTTTGACCAGCTGTATTTGAAGACATGTTGACAATATTTGTCGATGAATTTTTATCCGATGCAACTAAATCCGTAGCAGTGTTGCTGGTGGATGTGGATGATTTTTGTGTTGATTTTTTACTAATCTCTTGATCGCTCACCGTTGAGTGTTGTTGTTGTTGTTGTTGTTTTTGTTTATTCGATTGATGCTGTGCGCTTGGTTTCGTTGATACAATCGATTGATTTTTCGCTTGAATTTGAACTTTATCAATGGATGTGGAGGAAGATGAGGAAGGGGAGGAGGAGGAGGAGGAGGAGGTCGAAGCCTGTGCGCTTTTCAATTTAACACTTTTATCCGTGTCGATTGAATCTTTTTTACTCTTTGTATCGTGTTCAATTAATCGATTACTTTGAATCGTTGATGCTGAGCCAATTGACTGTGAATGTTGATTTATTTGTGCTGATACAGTCGATGTGCTCGATGGCGTTGATAAGCTTGATGGAGATGATGAACTACTTCTACTGTTACTACTTGTACTGCTGCTGCTGCTACTGCCGCTACTGCTGCTGCTTTGTTCACTTGTCGAATTCACGTTTTGCGATCCTGTTTCCGATGTCTTTTTTATGTCGTTATCTAAATCTTTTATCAAATCACCGATGCCGCCTACATCCCATTCATTATCATCATATTCAAAATTATTTTCCTTTGATTCCGTCGCTGATTGTTGCTGCTGCTGTTGCTGCTGTTGCTGCTGCTGATTATTTCCGCTACTCTTATTATTATTGTTTAAAGTACTGCCACTAACATTGCTAGTTATCGTTTGCTTATTGCTATCCGTTTCTAGGCTGTTAATGGCCACCTATCATAATTAAAACAAACAAATATAGACCATTTAATGAATAAAACCAGAAAGAAATGTGATGGTTTTCATGATTTTCACATATCAACTCACCTTATTCGGGTGGTGGCTATGATTTGCCGAACCACTTTTCATTGACTCCATGCAGACTGAGAAATTTGGGCCAACGCACAAAGCGAGCCCACAAATGTCGACACTTCTATCTCGTCGTCAATTGAAGCACACAAAGACAAACTAGACGGAAACGATGATAAACCGAACGATGATGGGAATGATGGAATTGATTCTGAAATATTGAAATAAAAATGTATACAAAATCTACTTCGACATCGACGTAGCAAAACTATGCACAGCATTCGACATATTTGCATCGATTTGAATACTTTTATGGGAATTAAGTATTGATGGCATTTGTCATGCTTACCTTGATAATTGAACAAAGCAGTTTCAGTTGTGAATGATTCGGATGCAAAACGGCGGGAGATACAGGGCCCCGACCCTTGAGACAAACCAATCATTTTAGTTCTGCAATAAAACACAAAACAAAATATTGTTAGAAAGATGTTAAAATATGACACACACCTACACTAGTATATAAAATGGAATTTTTAATTTGCATATTTATTTTTAATTTCTCATTCATTTGAAAGCAATCAATTAGTTAGCAGTGATAAACACAGGCCGTAGGACAAGTGATATTCAATAATTAGTGGTAGCAATGTACTCAAAAGTCCGACAGATAGTATAGCGAATCAAATCTGGATGTGTTATATTAAAAATCATATGGATTAAGCATCAACACATCATGTTTTGCCGTAGTGTTCAAGTGCTGAGAGGCGATAAATAAATTAAAATACTAAGCGCACGGTGGAATACACAAAAACATCAAAATATCGATCAAAATTTTCGATTTTGTGAAACGCATTTTTGTAAACAATATCGAAATCATTTTAATCATCATATTTTGTATTTGAAAAATAATAATAATTACGTAATAGTTTATTACACTGTAAGAGTTGCACCACTTTAGTGACAGTACAGAGGTGATGTGAATGCTTTATAATTATTGATTAATGTATTATCGGTAGGATCATTAATAAGTAACTATGATATTCCAGTGTCAAGTCAATTATTTCTATTTATTTAGGATTCGCTATTTATAAGCTAATTTTGATTCACCACTTTGTAGTTTAAATGAAATAAATGGAATTGACAGCATTTGAATTTTATGAGAGATAATCTATGAATTTGTTTATTGTGTTCGATAATTGAATGCGAACAAAAAGACGAAGAAAAATCGTGGGAAACAAGCAAATATTCTGTTCTGTGAAAATCTAGAGGAACGCATTACATAACTTTCTCTTTTCATTCTCTCTCTCTCTCTCTCTCTCTCTCTCTCTCTCTCTCTCTCTCTCT